ATATATTAGGAATAATTACTATATTCAAACAACAAAATAAGTGGCAAATATCAACTGAGGATATTAAAGGTGGTAGTTAACCACCTACTCTATATGGGTGATGGAGATAATTTATTATATTAATTTTTATTTAAAAATATATAATACCTTTAATATCACCAATCATTATTAGTATATATGAATTGTTATATATAATTATAATATATAATTATTATGTTATAATAAATAAGATATTATAATAATATATAATATATATTAATTAAAATATATTAATAATACGAATTAATTAAAATATATTAATAATACTAATTAATCTAATATATTTGGAAATTCATATTAATATTATTAGTAATTATAAATATTTATAATTATTAAATTTTTGTTACTACTCCTATCTTATTTGTTGTATGATTTACTAGATTAGTGTTCAATGCATATTTGTAGTAACTTTGTAATGACATGTAATGGGTCATAACACTAGAAACCACTCAATTCATAAGAGTTTTTTGAACAAAGATACGTAGAGATTCACGTTCCCGTGCTCATCTAAGAGTGATGCAAGCGGTAGATCTTCATATGGAATATGAAGTATCTCAAAGTTCAGAAACTAATATTTCACAAGGCGTTTCTACACCAATAACACTGATCAGAGCAATGGAATATACTTCCAAATTTCATTGGTTAGTAAAAAATAAGTTATCTATGGACTCCAAATTATTGTTGTTCTACATAAATTTTTCTCACATATTTCTGGAGAAAGAAAACCTCTAAACTTCATTATCCTGCCAATTCTTCAATGACAATATCCCTTACAACCAATTCTTTGATGACAATATCCCTTACCACTCAAAGAGATGAGATCGTTTGCATAGAGATATAGATAATGAAATATATCCATCAACTTCTTATGATAACTCATGTAATATTTATAATGACAATGGTACGAACTCAATTTCAGCATAGGTCAACTGCTTTGTGATGTTGTGTTAGTAGATTGGCTTATGTCAATGCATTACCATCATGCGAAACCTTAGAAGATTTATGCTTGCTTAAAGGTCAAACTGAGTGATTGTATAATTATGCATTAGTTTTTGTATTTTCTCGGGCATACTTTTAACCTATGGATGAATTTTGAAATGGTTTCATTGGCAGAATGTATTGGTTCATTCTTACATTTCTTACAATATCTACAACTTTTACAATTATTTGTTCTCTCTGTCATTTTGTTTTTGAACAGGTTCCCAATCAAGAGCCCAACATATTCTTTCCGCACCATACTCTCCCTAGTTTTTGGATCACAAGAATAAAAAAATAGTCATTTCTTTTCTCTCTAAAGAGCATGAACAAAAAAAAGTTATTTGTTTGCTCTTGAGGCAGTTGTAATAAAATAATAGAATAAAATTTTTATTGTTTCTCATTGTCTGCCATAATATTCTCTAAAACCGTTAATAAAATTACTGATCAATTATTTATTTTATATTCATCTATGCATTCACCCATAAAACTCTCAAAAATCATGGAATTGGCCTCATGCATACAAACCTTTTTTCTTTTTTTTTCTTGCATGCTAAACTTAATTGTAATGATATTACGTAATAACAAGATATATTATTATTATAATAGAGGTTTTCTCTAATGAATGAGTTTCATGCCTAGTGGTTGAAGTTGAAGTTTGGTCTTCTTACTTACTCTCTTAAGTTTTTAACTACACAAATATTCTAAGGCCTGTAGACCTGTAAGGTCTCTATTTACTGTTCTCCTCCTAACTTCCTTCCATTTGTCCAACTATGGGTTACTCATAGGCCAGAGATGCTAAATTAGGGTAAGTTGACGTCTCATCATCAAAAGGGCAAGTTAGTTATAAAACGTAACAAAAATTTTCAACCCTTGCTTAGTATGGGTTTTCTGTATGTGTTCTAATGAATTAATTTTAGAATGAATTATCAACGTTTTATTTTTGAATTATCTACCTCATCTCACATTATCTTTTTGCCATCTATCATCAATTCTCCTGTTATCTTTTTTTTGTTTTCTTTTTGGATCTTATAATCAAATCTCCTTTTATCTTTTTTTTGTTTTCTTTTTTTATCTTATTGATATGAGGTTGTAGGTGGGTAAATACGCTTTGCTGATTTTATCATTTCCCTTCTATCTTGTTCTCTTGATGGTTTTCATTGTAGTGAGGATTTCCTGTTACTTGATTTTCTCTGTATATCAGTCAATTCACAGATAGATGGATGGTTTCTCTGGCATTTTTATTCAGATCCTATATTTTCTACCAAGTCGAGTGTTATATATTTAAATGGCGTGATTTACTTGACAGTCGATGTGTTGCTTTTCGGTTCATGTTATTTCTCTTGAAAGCTTTTGGTTTCTTTCGTTTTCACATTCGTTGTTCCTTTCCCCTTCAGATCTACTACTTCTTAAAGTGAGAGCGAGTTCACCATGGCAAGCGATAGGAGTTTTCATGAACCTCGCAAGACGAATTCAGCCACAAACCTAATATCTTGGTTGAAGACTCAATCACAAAACATAGGACCTACAATGAGATGAGATGGAGTCTTCAAATTTATCACAGAGGGTATTATAGAAAGAATCCTATTAGCCCTCCCAATAAAATCCATGGTGAGTGTGTAAAGCATGGCATCAACTTCTCTATTCTCCATATTTTAGTCGAATCCAATACCTTGGACCAAAATCACACTCTGACCCAGTTGCTATTGTAATCATAAGAACAGGTTTCCGAGGCTTCGTATCTCGGATATCTTAAGCAATAGAAAAGTGTAGTGTATAAGAGAGATCTAAATTTTCTTAATAGATTGAGCAATAGTAAAGTGTGTAACAGAGATCTATATTTCCGTAAGGAACGCAAGGTGGGTATGGTTGATGCTTGCAACGGTCTAGCATGCATTTGCTTAGTAGGTGGTGGAAATGATGGAAATGAACCTGCAGAATTCGTTGTATGTAATCCAACGACGCAAGATTACATTGCTCTCCCATTGCTTCATGCTGAGCCAAATAAATACGGATTTTTTTTTTGACCCACTTAATCAAAGATTCAAGATACTTGTGTACTCGAGCGAGCGAAGCGGATGAGTATCAGATGTTTAGCTCCTCAACTGGATACTGACTGGAAATCAGTAGAGAGACCACCTGCTCCTGCCCCGACAACATGGCGCTGGAGTTACAACTTATTGTGTATAAATGATGCATGCTATGAGCCCAACGATTCCAAATTGGAAATCTTTCATATGGACAGAGAGGTGTGGGAAAGCATTGATTTGCCTGGTAACCCCCAGCAGTTGGTGGGTTGGGAAGAGAAAGTATGTTTGGCTGAGAAATCTAATAATATGGGAATTGAGCATAAACAAGGATCGGAAGAAAGTGATCTCACTAAGAATTAGTGAGAAGGTGGCAGAGAAGTTTTCAGGCCCTAAAATTGTTCTTTGTCGTGATTATACCCTTGTTGCATTGAACACCACCACTTGCAGGAGGTGGTATGAAACAACAGCTGAGCTCACTTTGTACAAGTTGAGTGGGAATAAGAAAGGGAAAGAAATATAACTTTGTGAGGAAACATCAGGGTCCAGGACAGCTACCCTTCCTTGGGATTTCCCCCTTCACTCCAACACTCTATGTTCCCAACTTCCTAATTACTTAGGTACACTAGAATTTTTTTCTTTTTTATACTAATATTTTGAACTGCCATTTGCGGATATGTTAATACCCTTTTATGGTTATCACATTTGTTCTTGGATTCTAGTGCATGATCACTATTCTATTCGTTGCTTGTTTTTTTGGGGTTCGGGCTTTAGATGCTACCTTGTGTATTTTATCGAACTACCTGTAAAAAAAGCTCTATTTTTGGCGGCTAGTTTTAGATCTTTTAATTTAGGAAAAAAAAGTTTATATAGAGCCAATGCTCTAAACAATCAAATTAGAGCCTATGGCTAGTTTTAGATCTTTTATTTTAGGAAAAAAAGTTTAGATAGAGCCAATGCTCTAAACAATCAAATTAGAGCCTACCTCAAAAATTTTACTAGAAGAGGTTGTTTTCCTGCCCAAATATCCTCGAATTGATCATCTCGATATCAAGGTTGTTTTCCTGCCCAAATATCCTCAAGTTGACCATCTCGATATCAAGATCCACCATAGACATGGACTGTATGTTTTTACTGTCATTTTGAAGATTTTCATAGATCTGTTATTTTTTTAAACCCTAAATTTTTTAATTAAAGTTGAAATTACATTTGAAGGCTCTCACAAATATTTTCAGTATTGAACCCACATTTCTCAACATTATTTGAAGGTGTGCTTTACTTTGATGGTTTAGAGCCTCGGCTCTATGGAACCTCACCCTAAAATCAAAACAACTATATTAAAAGGTTGCAACTTTAAACAATCCAATTAAACATTTTGGTGTAAATTTTTTTTAGGATTATCTAAGAATCGATTTTCATATCTTTATATAAAATTTTATACTCTAAAAATGGCTAAAATCAAGTAGATCTATAAACATATGAAAATCTTAATGTGTTGCAAGGTGCATTATTTCTAGGACTCAAAATCTCTCTCGTTTTTTTCTTCATATTTATACATCATCTCGATGTTGAGATGATCAATTAGAGGGTTTTCATCATTAAAATAACATTTTCAATGGAATTTTTAGGTGCATCTTTAATTCTACATTTTTAAGGTTGTAACCTCATATAAACTTTTTCCAAATATAATTTATTATATTGGGGAATAGAATATATATTATGGTGCGGTTTGTAGAGAGCTGATGCATACCGAAAATCTTTGTGATAGCCTTAAAATATATTGTCATCTCTAATTATAAAATATAAAGTTTCAAAAATAATATAGATCGAGCAGATCTTTGAAAATTTGGAAACCTTGAAAATTGACGATCCAAAAATGCAATACAAGATGCACTATTTCCAAAACTTGAAATCCATTTTTTTCTCATTCCCATGCATCTTGATGTCGAGATAATCAATTTGAAGATATTTAGGCATCAAAACAACCTCTTCTAGTGAATTTTTTAGGTGGGCTCTAATTTGATTGTTTAGAGCCTCGGCTTTGTATAAACTTTTTCCTATATAATATATTATAAAATACAATGTATATTATATTATATACGGTAATATAAGGAAAATGGTTTGATAGGGCTGGAATTCTATCAAAATAAGTAAAGCCTTACCTAATTACTCATCAAATATTATAATTCAAACATTAAAAATCTTTGACATCGATCATCTCGATTTGAACATTATGGTTGTGAAAAAAATTAAGATTTCAAACTCTAAAACGATGTGTATTTTAACAAATTACCTAGACTGTCTATTTCACCCTAAAAATATTAAGATCCATAAGGTCTGTACGAGTTTTTTACTTTCAAATTTTATGATCAGTATTGGAAATTGTTTTAGAGTCATCATGGAGATATCTATGTGCTTTAGACGAGGATTTGAGGTGAGGCTTTATTTGGTTTTTATAGAGCCCAGGTGTCATAGAAACTTCATCCAGAGTATAATGACCTCTTTTGTCCTTTTCTTTAATATTATTATAATTAGGCATTGTAATATAAATATATTATGTTTGTAATATAAATATATTATGTTGTATGATATAATATGCTATAGTTTTTTGGGTGTGGTTTGCATAAGGTTACAACCTTAAACAATCAAATTAAGGCGCACCTCGTAATTTTATCATTAGATATAATTTCGGCATCAAAATTTCATAGGATGGTATGAGAATCCATTTTCTTCCCTAATTGTCAAATTTTAAATTTCAAAAATAGTTCAAATCAAGTAAATCTATAAAAAAATATATGAAAATCTTGAAATTAGACAGGTAATGTATGGCAAAACGCATTATTTTTGGGACTCAAATTTTTTTTTCTCGTATTCATACAATCTCGATATCAAGATGATCAATTAGATCAAAATAGATTTTTTTGATGGATTTGTAAAGTACACCTGAATTCTACATTTTAAAGTTGCAACCTTATGAAAACTTTTTCCATTGGTTTTTTTATTTATAAAAAGATCGCCTAGGCATTCAAGTAAGTCATGGATCTATCCTTCTCTCACTCAGTTCAATTTTGCAGTCGAAGTTGCAATGGTGGCCAACTATCCTCCATCGTATATAAATGGCTATTGTGTGCTTGTGTAGGAGCACATTGTACATATCTCTCCGCCAAAGATCTAATTATTTACTCAAACTTAAATTTTGGAATCCCTTAAAACTAAGATATATTTATTTTCATAAGTAGAATTTCATTTTGAGCTTTTTAAGCTTTTAGACCTATAAGTGTTTTAAAACTTGGACAATAAATTAGAAAAAAACATTAAAAAAATGCATAGAGTCATTTTAAATAAATAAAAAAATACATCTAAATCCCGTTAAAAATCCAACACAAAGAGAAAGAGAAAAATAAAAAATAAAAAAACGTAAATTTCATTCGTTTGATTTGTTCAAGTTAGACAACAAATCTAAAATCTTTCATAAAGATGTGATAGAAGGTTACACGAAGAACAAAATGCCTCTAACATTACAAAACATTATGGAAGAAAAACTAGTAGATTGGGCATAGAAGAAAAAGGTCAACACTTTCACCTGTTGATTTTATTGATTTGAAAATATGGCATACAAATCTAATAAATGAACAAGACCAAAACAATAAAATCCTAAATTTCAATAAAGTTGGCAAGTCTCCTTCTCATTGGAATCAATGTTAAATCAGCCTCATATAAAACACGAAATATAAAATAAACCGTGAAGAAAAAATGTTTTTCTATTAAGTTACAACATTATTTCTAAAGCTTCAAAAGCATTTGTAAGAAATAATTTTTTACGAGGGTAGAGAAACTTACAAGACTGCCAGAAAACATGCTACTTCAAACCAACTAGATGTTCATCTAAAGAAATTTGAGGAAAAAGAAATTTCATCTAAAGATCTGTTGCACCAAAATTTTGGCCGTACAATCGTCAGGAGTTGCTTTCTCTCTCCTCAAAGAAGAATATAGGAGGCTTGGGTTATTGAGGTACTCCGTTTGTTGGGACGTAGAAATTAGGGGTTTTTGCACAAACCGTAGCACCAGGGTCTTGATTGACAGTAATGAAGAGGGAAATCAGTTGCTGATACTATTGTGGTAAGAAATTTCTATTTGAGTTTTTCTTATTATTGTATGAAGTAATTTCTACATAATCTCAAACTTGAAAATTTCTTCTATTGATGGTGAATATATCGTTGCCTCTTATAACGGGCTCATTTTTGGGTGAACCACTTAAATTCATGTGTCTTCCACTTTTGATTGTATTGTGGTTTTGATGATTTCCCATTTTACTTGTTTTTTTTTTTTATATATACATTTTCAAATATATTTCACACACATTATTGTTTTCAGGTATTTTATTTAAGTGTTGAGTTTATTGTCGTAGTGCGCACCACATCAAATCGGGATATGAGTTATCCCGATTTGCCATCAAAAAGTAATTGAGATAGCCGCAGTTGCCAACAAAGAGTAATTGAGATAGCCTCGGTTGCCAACACCGTTTCCATTGAAAAAATGGTGTTAGATTCGGGCAATTATGAGAATAGGTATATGGCTCTCGTTCAAACATGAATAGTTGTTATATATATATATATATATATACTATTTGCATCTTGTTTGCTTCTCGATAGGGAGTTATTTTCAATGTGCTGGCAATCACAACAACATTAATAGAAGAAAGCAAATGCGTATTTTTCTTTATGAGAATACTTCAATTGAGAAGAAAATATTCATTTCTTCGATTATATCTACAATGATTTCGCCTCAGCAAGTAGCAAATGTAGTAGCTCCGAAAACCTTCAATCTTTAGTATTTGATTGAAAATAGATCTTAATTACATTTGATTAGTATACATGGTATTTATTTGCATATGTAGGGTTGATCAAGAATTTCCCAAGTATATATCTTGTTATACTTATATTCTTTGATCCTTAGATATTAGGAGGTTATTATTGATGTGCTTTCACTTGTTCTACTTTTGTTTTTATATATTTTCAAACATGCAAGGAAATTTATTTATGGTTCTTGCTCATCTAATACTCTATTGGTTGGAAGTGCTATATCACTTTAAAAAGCAGAAAATTATATATCCAATTAGAACTATTTTTATCTATTGATGTAATAAAACTGTAGCCTGAATAAAAAATAAATAGCTATATCTATAGGTATGAAATACATTGATGTAACAAATAAATAGAGATATTGGGTTCATTATGAATTGCATCTCTTGTATTTTTATTATTAATGATAACTTTAGGACGTTATTTTCTTAAGACTGTATTATATCTCAAGGGTGCGACCTCATGTTACAAAAGTGAAGTCACACTTTGAAACATTGCTGGGAGATGTAGTTTTGGTGGCGTAAAATTTTCTTATGATTATTAATTGGAAGCCATAGAAAAGATGCAGATCTAATGAATTCTTATACAATTGAAGATGGATGGTTTAAATAAGGTGCGGTTTCTATAAGGTTGCAACTTTAAACAATCCAATTAAGGTGCACCTTAAAATTTTATTATAACATGTAATTTTGTTGTAAAAAATACTTAGTATTATCAGAAAATCTATTTTCATACATAATTAGAAAATTTTAAATTCCAAAAATGGTTAAAATCAAGTAGCTCTATAAATATATGAAAATCTTGAAAATGGACGGTCTAG